CAGAACTGGCCCCACTAATTTATTGTTAAGCTACAGTCTGAACTGTGTGGGCTCATTTAGTCTGTGCAAAAAGTAGGGTTCTGGAAACATCTTTGGGGGCACCTCCCCCAAAATTGGGGGATCAGTATTGGGTGGAGTGTGAAAGCTGTGAATCCTCTCTCTGGACTCAACCTGTATGCAGGTGTAAATAAACCGTATATCATGAGACTGCTGTCAGTCTCCAGTGGCTTCATTCCACTCCAGGGTAAAACACCTGTGCCTCAGGGGTTGTTATTACTCAGAATGTTGGGCTGTATTTTGCAACCATATCATTTTGCTGTTTTGAGCCATTTGTGGAAATGCTTCCCCAGAGAGGTTCACCTGGTACCTTCTCTGTTTTCTCTTAGGTACTAGGCAAAAAATATTTCTATTTTCCCGGGCCCGTACATTTTTCAATCCTTGGCTATTTTGAGTATGATGTGGGTTGTAATGGGTTGAACTCTTGTTTGTAATGGGTTGAACTGACTTTCAGTCATATGTCCACTTAAAACTGATTAAGGTCCACTTAATTCAAGTCTCATTGTTCTTAACAGGTCTGTTCTAAATATGACTGAATCAGGATCCAAACAATTGATTGCAGACTTTTATTGTAAATTTCCTGAGAATGTTTTTGACAACTGGAAATATATAACTAACCATATGTAAGCAAATAAATATGGGGCTTGTCCAGCTGCAGAATGATTGTACATGAGTTTTATACACACATATATATACACATATACTAATTTTCATTTATACCTAGTGATTCTAGATGTGTTAGAGAAGTTTGTTTGACTGTACTCTGTAAAATTCTGAAATATTCTGAATTATATGGCTCAGTCATCAGTTCAAAGGGAGACTGTAGTTAAGAATTCAGATATGCTTTGAAGGACAGCGATGAAGAAACTGGAAAATATAATCAAATGTAAGGATGTTTCACTGGAGACCAAGGCCAAGATCATTCACACAATTGTATTTCTGATCTCTGTGTTTGGGGTGAAAGCTGGACAGTGAAGAAAGCTGATAGGAAGAAAATTGATGCATTTGGAACATGGTGTCTGAGGAGAGCTTGGCAAATCCTGGATCAACAGAAAGACAAACAATTGGATCATAGATCATATCAAGACAGAATTTTCCCTGGAAGCAAAAATGGCAAAACTAGGGCTGTCATATTTGGAACAGATCACAACAAGGCAAGATTCACTGGAGAAGTCAATCATGCTAGGGAAAGTCAAAGGCAGATGAAGAAAAGGAAGATCAAATACGAGGCAGATTGACTCCATAAAGGAAGCCACCGATTTGAATCTAGAACAGTTAAGCAGGGGTACCATGGAGGGCCTTCATTCATAGGGAAGCCATACGTAAGTTGGAGATGACTTGATGACACATCATAACAAAGAAGTGAATGAAAGGGAAAGAACAGACACCTTTGCCATAGTGTGCCATATTTGTCATGAAGGACCACCCATACCATAGCATGCCTGTCACTTTCACAAAACAAAAAGGGAAATGAGCAGGTTCTTGAGAAATAACATCCTTTGCGGACAGTATGGACTCATAGCAACTTTTTTGTTTAAGTGTGATCAGAATAAAGATGTTTATCCAGAGCTGCTTTAGTAGTTTTCTAGGGTATTAGTAACTTGTGGGAGGAGAAAAACAGTAGGCAAAGCTACAATGCTGCAGTTTTTAGGAATATGTTACGCCCTTCACAGTTCACACACAGCTTCAGTGAAACCGTTTCCATGCTTCAAAAACAGCTATATACAGTTGATGTTCAGATTTATTTGCATTGTGTCTAACACACAAAGGTCTGTGGGGGATGCAATGTACCTGAGAATGCTGTGGGGAGCAGTCAGGCCCGCTTCTCTTGTAACACCATCCACTTAGCACAAGATTTTAAAAAATCAGCAAGCTTGCTTTATTGTGGTGAAAAGGAAACACAAGCAATGCTCCAAAGTTCATGGCATAGAAACTTCACAGAGATTACAGTCCCAATAAATCAGTTAATTGTATTAATCTAAGGTTGCAAATCCAAGATTAGGTTCTGAAACACAATCCAGACAGAATCTGGTACCAAGATTCTGAAGACCAGTGATAGAGTCTAACACAGAATTTCAAAGGACCAGGTTTCTAGAATTAGAAGAGTTCAGGATCCAGGAGTAATTTCCAAGATGAGGTCTCAAGCAGGAGAGTACCTTCATAGAAGCAACATATAGTTGAGGTTAAGGTCCAGATATAGTTCAAACAAGAAAGTTTTCCCATGCTAAAGATGTTTTATTCAGAAAACTCCCTGGGCTCTTCAGTTGTTAAACAGAGGCAGGAAGCCCAGAGTTCTTTGGCAGTCCACCTATCATTCCAGACAATTTTTGTTTGAAAATGTGAACTTTTCTTAAGTGGATGTTTATCTTCCATTCTTTTTAGATGTCTCTGTTCCCAAGGAGACAGGTCAGAAATGTTATCTTCCAGAGATGTGGCTCCAACCTAGTGTTCCCCAGTTCCACGTAAAAAAGCAAACTGAACTGTCCTTCTTGAAATGTCCTTCAGCACCAGCTGAGAGAAAATATTCTCCACTGCACCTGAGGCCAACAAGTTAGTTAAGCGGGGAGCAGGCAGACAATGTAGTGCTGAGTTCTTTCCTCGAATACCTTGCTGCAACCTCCCAGTCTTTGCTGCCTGAGGTAACTGCCTCACTCTATTTAATGGTAGCACTGGAGGAATGTTGTCCATGGGGTTGTGAAGAGTTGGGCATGACTTTGTGACTGAACAACAAGACTAAATTAGGAAACCTGATCTAAAGTCATGAATGTATCAAATGCTTAAACAGCTTAATTTTTTTTTAAGTATCAAGCTATCATGTAATAAAAACATAAGAAACTCCAGCTTCAGCTTTAAGGGGTTCCTCATTAAACTGCCCTGTGGTGGGCCCTTTCTATGTTGGAAGGTTCTAGCTGCAGTGGCCATCAGTGACAGTGCCCTGGACCAGCACTGGGTACCACCGGCAGTTCAAGGTAGTGGCCTGAGGAAGCTGCATGTTGATGACAGGCTCGGACAGAAATAGGAAATGCCATTAACAAGAAGTTTGTTAATGGTATGAACACAACACATACCATTAAAGAACACACCAGGGCTAGTGGTAACACTCACAGTCTGTAAAGGAAAAGCTGAGCACAGTCAAATATGTTTATACAGCCCTGTTCTGTAGTATCCACATGCAGATGGATGTACTGTTCAGCTGGAATGTAGCTTGAAACATCAGTGAAGCCAGGAAGTGGGAGAGATCTTTGTAAGCTGCCTCAGGTTCCTCATAAGAGGAAAAAAGTGTGATAGAAATGAAAAGTAATAATAATTAGGATCCTGGATTGAATAGAGATTTATAACATTATCAAAAAAAAATCTGGAAGATAGGCAATCACACGAAATGGACACCTGTTCTCAAGCATTGTGGGTGGGAATATTATGTGATGTGGGGATTCTGTTAAGAGATTTTGTTTACCAGGGTGTGCTCCCCAGTACCTCTGCCTTCCCCTATTTTTCCTGCCCCAGCTAGGTAGGAATGATGTGGCTGGTGGTGATGCTGCATGTTTCTGCGTGGCTTGGCAGCATGGCTATTACACTTCTCACTGGGCCGTCTATTCCCTCATAGCAAGAACTTTGTTTCTCGAAACAAAACAAAAGAACTACAAGCAGAAGTACATACTTTTTATGTAAATAATTTGATCGGTTTTGGTATCTTTCCTACCCAAATACAATTGCACCAATATAACACACGGCTGGAAAAATGAACAAGAAAATGGGGGATTGTTCTGACTGCAAAAAAGACATCAAGGGTTCTATCCTGTACACAATTAGACAGAAAAGGAGTCTACAGCTTTCAGAACTGTAGCTTTCAGATGGCTGAGACAGACTGGGAGTTGTAGACCTTTGTTCTGCTGAAACTTGCAAAGGACTATACCTTAAAGGGCCAACAGTTGTCAGAACACAGGAAATCACTAAGATATTGCTTCATACAGGAGAGCTTTGTGGATATGACATTGAGTAGAATGTCAATGAGTAGAAAAGAAATGGATGCATTCTTTGAGTAGAAATGGATGCATTCATACATTTTCCATTTCTCTTAGCTTCCAATCTCAAGTTCGATTCCTCTTGAACTTTAAGAATTTTTCCTTTAAAAAAATAACTTACATTTGGAAATTTGGGAAGGACACATATCCCATGGTGGGCTGTGGATCACTGCACACGGCATGCTGTGACATGCAACTTTCAAGCCCTTCCCACGGCTGGAGTTCTGATGTTAGGGAAGAAGACAGGGTGGAGGATGTCATGGTGGCTGAGAGAGATGGTTTGGGAGATCTGTGACTAGATCTTCCCCTCCAAAGTCCACCTCTCTACCCACACTTGGAAGAAGAAATCTGCCATATCCATTTACTTCTTTATCTCCCTGGAAAACAGGATAGTTCTTTCAGCATCTTATTTATAGAAGACATGGAATATATAGATATTTTGAATGCATATTTTACAGGTATATTAATTTGTATCATTCACTGGAGGTTCTGAAGGAGCGATTGCCTGGAATGATATCCTTGCTTTAATAAAAAGAAAACTTCGGAGTTAGGATGCATGATCTTGGAAGGTTCTGATTATGCTTTTTGAGTTGTATATTCTCACTGATTTGTGTGGTACATTGTGGCTACACATACTCACAACTTAAAGATGAAACCATAGACACACTATTGGTTTCCACTCTGGAGAAAGAACTTTCTTTTCTGCCTAAAATAAAACTTGACTTATGAAGTGCTGAAAAGAAGTAACCACATTGTGGCAGGAAAAAGCTGCTGAAAGAGGGGCTAGTTAAGTGGAGGGGTTTTTTTTTCTCTGACAACTTGTAAAAAACCGAATGGGTGGGTTTTTCTCAGATTTTCCACCTCTCATCCCCCCATTACACACTTCATGCAAAAAATCATCTAGGAAATGTCCAGTGGGCTATAAAAGGCTGCTGAAAGAGGCCCTAAATTACTTCTACTTCCATCACCTTAAGAGAAGGATCTACCATGAAAGTCTACGTGGCAGCCATTCTGGCCATTTGCCTTCTTGAGAACTTTGATGTGTGGATTATCAGAGGTATGGTGTTGTTTTTCCTCCAGTTCTGCAGTAGTAACAGAATAGTTATTGCCACTTTAAGAGAACAATCATGCTTTATTTCAGTGGGATCTGAAATTCTCTTCAGAGGCAAGAACTTCTTTTATGGACAATTCTAGAGTATAATATTAGGAAGAAAACTATCTTGTGATTTTGTAGCACTCTTAACACATTTACTCCCTTCAGGAAGATGGGATCCCATGCAGCAGAATTTCTTATTATCCTAAATGTTGCTGTGGTTATTAGCTATACAACCTTCATAAAATGTGCAAATGTACAGTCTTTGAGCAGGAGATCCCTAACGTGATTACTGAGCAAGCTGTACTGATATGGGTATGGATTGCCTAGCTGCATTTCACTATAGATACAAGTCTGCCCCTTCATACTGGCTATCTACAATGCAGCACATGGTCCATGCAAGAGGGTAACAAGTATATTTCTATGGAAGGCTGTCTTTTTCATGCCTGCTCTCAAAGATTTGCTTCTTCTGAGAGAAGTCTTGCTCTAACAATTTCTACTGGACATGCACATGGTAGCCATGACATAAGCGGAGCTGGCTGGCACCGGAGGTCAGACTAGATGGCCCAGGAGACCCCTTCTGACTCATGCTGTTTCTGTTTTTCTATGTTCCTGGAGGAAGAACACCTTCAACTCTATAGGGCAAAATTCGCCAGTCTGGTATCCACCAGATTTTTTGATCTACAACTCACATCATCCCTGACCATTGGCTATATTGGCTGGGGATCTTGGGAGTTGTAGCCCCAAACAGCTGCATTAGGGTGGTAGGTTGGGAAAAGGCCACCACTGGGTGATGCATGCATGGAAGAGCTACTTGTGTGACAGGAGCATGTGCGCACAAATGAGGAATGTAGTGGAAAGAACTGTCATGTTGATTCTCACAATTCCTTGGTCTTGGCTGTTGTGTTCCTTATGACAATGATGTTTGTAGATGTGTGGAAAGCATGACTGCTGAAGTGGGTGGATGGTCCTCATGGTTGACACTGGTACCCAGCAAGACCAGGCAGCTCCTTGGGACTATGTACACTCAGAGGTCCTCTTCAACTTTTGTTGCACAGTTAAGCTTTGGATTGTCCTTCAGAAATAGCCTTCAAGCATGGGGGACAGCCACCTTTCTCTGAGACACATCCCTGTGGATGAGTCTAATGCAAAGGTTGGAGGAGAAGGAGGCAAATCAGGCAGGGGTTAGGGTTAGGGTTAGGCAATTAAACCTTGCCTACTTCTAAAACTTGATCCATGTGATTCTCAGTTTCCTGGAAGGGACTACACATATGCCATAATGGCTGCTTCACTGAAGAAAGAATTGAAAACATATGCAGCTAGTCTGCACATGTGCTGGTAGTTTCCCTTCTGATTTGGGATTCACGTACAGAAGCCCCCTTTCCCCTTACATGGACGCACCCAAGCTCTTGAAAATGTCATATCCTTGTACCATTTTCTAGAGTCCTTCCTACACCCACCAAGTGACCCTTGTGTTTAATTGCAATTCAATAGCTAGAAAGGGCGTCATGTATGAGGTTTACTTGTAGATATATAAGAACTGGAGCTCTAATTTAACATTCAGAGAAACCCTAGCAATGAAAGTTTTTATTTGGTGTCTTCACAAAGTACATTACTCTGCTATGGAATTTACCATCTCTTGATGCGGTGATGATCACCTATTTGGATGACTCTAAAAGGCAATTAGACAAATGCATTGTGGGTATCAATGGTTACTAGTTATGACTAAGCTGACTCTTAGTTATTGGGAAACATGAACAAGAATGATGCTATTATGCTCATGTTCTTCTTATGGCTTTCTCACAGCCATCCGGCTAATCATTAAGTGCTTGACTAAACAGGCCTTTGCTTTGATTCAGTGGGGCTTTTATTATATCTTTATGAATAGATGATCATATGCTGTAATTCTTTTTAAGGAACTGCTGGGTCACAAACCATGGCACTGAGCTCCTGTGTAGATTTGAAACCAACAGAAATAAACATCCGAAGAATTGCTGGTTATGAAACACAAACCAGACCAATAAAAGCTGTGATGTGAGTATCTAATCTTTAGCAGAAAATTAGCCTACATGTATGTCAACAAAACGCTTCATCCCACCAGGAAAATGAAAGGAGATGATGGAGCTCATGTTGGAAAGTGTGTGGGAAAGTGGGTATGCAGTGGCAAAGGCCCAATTTTGCCCAGAGAAAGGATTGAGCCATTATCAATTGGTTGAGAAATGATTGAGCAATTTAGCCTGGACCTCTACTTGTAATGAAGTGGCTATGATATTGTTCAAAGATTTAGCAACAATACTTGGGAACTGTTCCTTGAGGACTCTTTCTTAGTGACTCATGGCTAAACATGTAGTAATATAAATTGGCCTGGGAACATGACTGAAATGTAATATAACAACACCAACATAAACACAAAATGTTTGAACTTCTTCAACTGACAACTGCCACCCCACAAAGGACTGATTCCATGACTAGCTGAAGTCTCACTGTTTACCATGGGTCTACTCTAAGTGTGATTAACTCTGGATCCAACCTATTGTGGTTGAGGTGATGTCAAATGGTAACAAGCTTCCATCTGTAGTAGTTTTTACTGCATGTGGTTCGCCATGGGATGCCACATCCGCTGAGTGTCAAATATGCCTGTGTGAACTCTTCTGGAAGCAGAGGTCAGAAACGCCCTGCCAGTACAGGATCCTCAGAAGCATTCTCAGATATGTTATGCAATGAAGCTCCTGACAGAAGTATTAGTACTGTGTACCAGGGTTCTTCAGCCTTGTGCTTCTAGATGTGTAGGGCTGCAGCCCCCATAGTTCCTAGCTAATATGGCTAAGTCCTGTGTACACTGTATGGTCTTTGATAACCATCTGGTTGATCAAGCAAAGGGGCACTCCAGCTTTCAATAATACCAGCTAATTTAACATGAAGGTGATGCTACCTGGGGTGCACAACATTCATCATTTCAGCTTCCAATATCTGAGTAACATGTATTGCAATATATTTGTCAGCATGTTTCACATTTCTTCACCAAAATAAGAACCACAAAACTTACTTGATTTAAAGAAGATAAAGAAATGTTTCTAATGTTTAAAGAAAACATTAGTGAAATGTTCTTTTTTTTTTTTGTAGATTCATAACCAAAAGTGGTGTCAAGGTCTGTGTGCCAGGTGAACTTCCATGGGTAAAGAAAGCCATCAAGAAGTTGAACCAAAATAAGGCTAAAAAGCAAAGAAGAATTACAACTAGACCTAAGGCTGTGAGCAGCTAAGCTATCATCACTGGTAGCTGCTCATAATGACTGCTTACTGTTGACCAGAAATAAAGTTTCTGAATTGGTATAATTTCACTGAAATCCATTTATTCATTCAGACACAGCAGATTGACTGTTGACCATTGAGCCCTGACTTTTATCTTAATTACACTGGGTTGTATCCAGTGTTAGTATAACTTGGCACATTCATTCCAGTGGTCTAACCTAAGAAAGACTAATGTGGGATACAACACTTTATGTTTTCCTTACTTTGTATCATACAAGAAGCCAGTTCTTGGTCCTATGTAATATAAGAACCCAGAGCTTTTCAATATTTTTATTGTAGCTCTTTTAAGAGTATTGGGAGTATTTCTTAAGTGTTTTCTTAATATCATGGTCTTGTTATTTTTCTTGTTTAAAATGTTTTCAAACGATGGATGTATTGTGTTCTGTTACTATATCGAACTCGTTGAGTAGTTTAGTGCTCCCTGTGTTTAAAAAAGCAATATTAAACTTTGGGAGACATGCGGGTTATGGTGGTAGCTGGGAAAAACCATAGAAACCATAATAATGGGAAATTAAATAGCTAAGCATCTAGAATGAGCCCCCAGTAATTCGAATTTGTGATTACTCCCTCTGTTTATTGTTTGGTACATGATCACCAGGAAATTCTTAGGGATGAATTATACTGTATTTTACTGCCATGCATTTGTCTTGCTAATTGTATATTTGTTCGTTTTTGTAATGTTTTGGAGCTATTTATGTTAGAATTGTCTCCAGTGGGAAAAACACTTTAAAATTGATTAACTTATCAGCTTGCCTATTTGTTAATTTAAGTAAGTATATAGCAATTCAATACAGATGGCACAGTGAGGATATTTAAGGAAAATAGCAGATTCCTTTTGATTAAAAAGACTGACTTTAAAATAAAGTGGTGTGCTGAAGATCATGTTAAATGCCTGAAGGAAGAGACATTTGTGTTATTTCAAAGAGATTCACATGAGTCTAGCTTTCATTCAAGTGTTGGCTTTGCAGGAGCTGGGATCAAGATACCTTTCCAATGCATTTCTAAGGGAATAATCTTATGGCATCCTGACATTGACTGGGAGACCATAGGATTATTTTGGAGCCCTGAATCTCTGGGAGGCCCTCTGCCCCAACCCCAACTATCCCTAGCCACTTTCTGAAATGAAGTTAGGAGGCCCTGATTATCTCTGTTGAGGTTGATCTCTCTGGATTAGCTGGAGTTTGACCACATGTGCTTCACATCCTGCTCTCTTATGCCAGACTCTTTTTCCCTGAGTCTTTTTTTTCTGAATCAAGCCTTTTCCTTCCCCCATGCATGCCACATTTTTACATACAGAGGTGCTCTTAGAAGACAGGAGCCTTTAAACACACACACACACACAGAGATGTTAGAACATATGTGAAGTAGTATGTGCAGATCAGGGCTTTATTTATTTATTTATTGCTTGCTTGCTTGCTTGCTTGCTTGCTTGCTTGCCTTTTAGGCTGCTCTTCTCAGGCTGATCTAGGATCTTCTCAGAATCTAGTAGCACTCCTGCTTGAATAGGCAGGGAACCTGGGTAGGGAAGGGACATTATCAGTCTTACAGCTGACTACAACATTCTGCATGTGTTATGACAGAGGGAGAGGGAGAGAAAATGAGGGAGAGAGGGAGAGGGAGAGCTGCATTTAACTCTGGAAATTTAATACCAAGTCAAGTGAAGGGGCACGTTTCATGAAGGCTTTGATCTTACTAAAAACACTCCCCCTGATAATCTTTCAAAGGCATTGCAAAAGGCAGAAAAAATGTTTGCCTGGTACGGAGGTCACAGGGAAATGGGGTATACCCCCCTTGCTGAGGTGACTGTACTGATGTGCCTACCTTGCTGGGCTGCACTGGTGGGCAACAAAACCAGGACTGGGAGCACTGGCTGGGTGCCTCATGAGAAGATTCAAGTTAGATCAATTCAACACCTATCAAATCTAACATCTCCTCCCCACAGTAGGACACGGCGCTCTTCCATGGTTGCTCCCTGGCAACTGGTCAGCGCAGCGGCATGCTGCCCCTGAACCCTGGGCCTTGGCAACAGGATGCATTCAGCTTTCCCCAGGCCCTTCAGAGGAAGACCAGTTCAGGAAGCTTAACCTGGTAGCCAAATATGCTTGCTTCCTCAGCACTGTGAAATCACTGGACTTACTAGATAATCCCTAATTAGTTGGCAACACGGCTGGATCAAAGCAGCACTAAGAAGCAGCACAGGGGCTGCAAGCAAAGCCCCTGTTCCACAGAGATGTGAAAAAGACACATCGGTGGGTGGGAATGAGAAATCTGTGGTTCCCAAAAAGACTAATTTGCCCAAAGCTCATCTGAGAGCAGGAAGCGGGGCTTGCAGGACAGAAGTCACTGGTTCCAGGCAAACTTGAACCTCAGGATGATTCCTTAAAAACTCAACCACTCCAATTCAGGCATCTTCCATCATCAAGGCAGTGTGACAAGGTGCTTATGTAAAAACTATTATACAAGAAACTGCTGTCACCCCTTCAGTGACCAAAACATGTAACTATTAGTTGCACTTTGCCTAGATGTTCTTTGCTTGCTCACTCTTTTTCTTGCTTGCTTGCTTGCTTGCTTTCTTTCTTTCTTTCTTTCTTTCTTTCTTTCTTTCTTTCTTTCTTTCTTTCTTTCTTTCTTTCTTTCTTTTCTCCCTCTCCCTCTCCCTCTCCCTCTCCCTCTCCCACTCCCTCTCTGTGCAATTAATGCTTAAGCTCTTGAGCACATTAGTAATGCTTCACTGCAGTAACCAGGCTTTGCATTTTTCCATGGCTTTTTTTTCAGCAAGACTGAGAATGTCCTTGGGTCTGTAAATGTACATAAGCTCTCTTGTTGGAAAAGGACACTTCAGTTAATCTTTCTGACAGACCAATTATTGTTAGGTGTCCTTTGTTTGAAAGCTGGGGTGTGAAGGCCCATATATGGGCAAACCAGCCTGCTGCAAATCCCATGGTGAAAATAGATCAATTTCATTGTCAGGGATTCCACAGTGTAAATTATTAGCAGGTGGCCCAACCCATAAAAAAGCATTTTCTCATTTTAAGCTATCTATTCACATGACATTGAACATGGGAAAAGCATAAAACCCTGGAAAACTAGAAAGGTATCTGCATCACAGAGATTAAGAGGCTTCTTCTTTCTGTGGAATAATGGAAAACTGCATTTGGGAAACCAGGGTCCTCAAATCATGTTCAAAACTGATCAAGGGGCAAAGTGAGTTCGTTGGCCACCAGGGGGCATGAGGCTACTTAATAAGTAAAAAGAAGAACTGGTGCGTCTAGATCATTTGGTTTGTGCTCACATCACATAAGAATGTGTCTCTCTCTAGGCATTCCCTTCTACCATTCTGAATTCCCATCAAGCAATGGGTTTATCTAGTGCACAAAAGATGACAAAGCACAAAGTGATTTGCTTGGTTGAAAGACTAGGACAGCGGCATAAGAAGCAGAGTTCCTGATTGTGTGGGAGAAAGCAGTTCACACAGGACCTGTGCAGAAAAACCAGCAAAAAACTGGAGGGCAGGGGCAGAATACATTCTGCTTGGCCCATTTAATTTAATTAAATGGACTCGTAGAATCACAGAATAGAAGAGTCTGAAGGAGCCAGAGGGGTATTGGGTCCAACCCCGAGCTCAGTGTAGGACATTAAGTTCAACCATCCTTCGCAGATGGCTGCCCAGTTGCATCACAAATGCCTCTAGTGTGGGAAAGTCCACAACCTCCCAGAGTAATTGGCTCCATTTATGGATGCACCCACCACTTATGCAATGGAGGTTTAGTGTTTCCAGGTACAACTGGAAATAAGTGATAATGCTCATTTCTGGAATGGGCCAGGTCGGTGAACTTACATAAGGGACTTTTCTTCCCTGTGTATAACCCTTCCCTATTGGGAAAACAGAGATTGCCCTGCACCACAACTATATTTGCTTGTATTGATGCTTCACAGAGAACAACTGCTCTTTTTAAGATCTTCAGTTGAAAATATATATTTTGCATTTTCCATGTACCAGTCCTTCTGTGTCTTTGTTGAGTTGAATATTTTGTGAATCAATTTAATCCAGTGATACAGATAGTTTATTGAGCTGTTGGATTTCAGCTTAAATTTAAACTTTGTTTATCTTAGTTGTTTATCTTTGTTTATCTTAGTTGTTATCTTTCTGCCAAAAACTTCAGTAAAACAGGGTTGGATCCAGATTAAGTCATAATTTAAACAGATTTACTGAAATTAGTGAATCCTAATCTAGTTATAACTATCTTAGGTTATTGAAACATGGATTACTGTGTTGTCTGAACCCAGCTAAACTAATAAGCTTGATGTTAACTGTGAACAACTGAGCAACCCATGATGAGAATCCATGGTTTGTTGTTAAGTTGTAAACTGCAGATTGTTCACCATTGTTTGTTATCTTGGGTGGGTTCAGACACAAGATAACCCACATTTAAAAAACAACCTGTGATTCAGAAACAGTCCATACCAAACCTACTCAGTCCCTGAGTGTGGGTTATGCTGTCTGAACCTAACTGTAGTCTAAAATATCTGCAAGATACCAGGTTAAGGAAAGTTGCTCTATAATATCTGAGATTTTGAACCCCTGCAGAGAACACCCAAATAGATAATTTGCCTGCAAACCTTTTCTTCAGTCCGCTTGTTTCTGATCCTGCTCTGCCTTAGTGGCATTTGACCATGCTTCTGGATTGTGCCTTTGTCTCTGCCCTTACTTCGTCTTACTGGTGCCTGACATCAGCCTATATTTGCACTTGCCTTGTACCTGGTTCTCTAGTATCTCACAAAGACCTCCATCCCTTTCTAGCACCCCAGCCCTGCTGCTCAGCCATAGCTGCCAGCTACCTCTGTGCTAGACCAGTGTGCATTTCCACAGATCAAAGAGAGTGAAAAAGATGCGGTAGGAAGCCTCATCTAATCCACAGAGGCTCCAAAAGTTCTCCCCTGCCAGGTTTTGTCCTGAGACCTTTGGAAAGGTGAGTGGTCAAGGGAAAGCAGTGTGCTAGTGATCTCGACTCACAAAAA